AAATGGGCACTCTCCGAGATACACTGAGATACAATGCTAGGTGTGAAAAAGCCTGGTGCAAACTGTGTATGCCATTGGGAGAACAAATGAATATGTACATTTGTACAGAAACAAACTCTGCAAGGACACATAGACACTGGGCCAGGGACTCCTTAAAGCAGAGGTCCCCAACCTCAGGGCCATGGACCAGTGTGACTCCGTGAACCGTTGGGGGCCAGGCTGCAGACAGGTGCCAGTCCATGGTCTGCTGCCTGCTCCCAGGCTGCGTAGCAGTGGGTGAGCGGCAGGTGAGTAAGTGAGGCTTTTGTCTGTGTTGGCAGTGGCTCCCCATCATTCCCATTGCTGCCTGGACTCTGTCTCCTATGGGATCAGCGGCAGTGTCATATTCTCGTGGGAGTACAAACCTATTGCTGTGTGATTGCCTCATTGCATATTGCAGTGTGGTAGTGGTGTAAATGTGGTGCACAGTGGATGTGGAGCACCTGGGTCATTCCAAGACCAATCCCCCCTACCCTGGTCTACGGAGGGATTATCTTCCACAAGGCCGGTCCCTGGTGCTGAGAAGGTTGGAGACTACTGGCTAAGAGGGAGTGGACAATTTCTTATACTAAGACTCTCTGTACCATCTGAATTTTGTGTCATAGGCATAGATTACCTATTTAAAAGATGTCTGAAAAATTTAAAATATCTTACCCAGAAGCATTTTGGGTTTGACATTACAGATGTGATTAATTTCCATGGCCTCTCCCAGAAACCACCACACAGCATGCCTGTCCATTCATAGTCCAAATTACCTACCTGCCCATAGCAAGCCCTACCCTGCACCTACTGGGGCAAGTTGGTTTATAGCAGAAAATATTGTAAGAATGTTTCCACTTTATGAAGGCTTAGTGGAGATTAAAGGACAACAAAAAAAAAGTGCACTGAGAACTAAGACAACCCTATAAACCAGTTCTGAGAGGCAACCACACTGGAGTCTCCCATTTCCATCAACCTCTTAGGCTATTTCTCTAAATAATGGGTCTCTACTGCTGTTTGGCTTTGCAGTTGAAGACAATACTCACTGACTTCCAACTGTATCACTACTCCCACTTCCCCATCTCTTTCCCCTCCTTCCTTCTGATCCTTCCTTCCTTCCTTCCTTTCTCCCTTCCTTCTTTCCCTCCCTTCTTTCTTTCTTTTTCTTCCTCCCTCCTACCTCCCTTCTTCCTTCCTTTTAAGGTTTTTGCCATAGGGCTCATGCTCTTGCTGGAGAGAGACAGAGAGGGAAGTAAGAAATCACTCCAGGGTGGGGGGAACACTGCAATCCCTTCTCCTCCATTCTCCTCTCAGGATTTTGGGCATGCATGCACACGTGCCCAGCATGCGTTTCAAGCCATCAGGTCCAGGACTTAAAGCACAGTTGGTCATTGCTTATTAAATTCACAATTTAATTTTTTTAGTTAATTATTACTTAGTGCTTATAATTTTGTTTCATGTACTCTATTTTACTGCAGTACTGAACAGTAGTGAAATTATACTTCTGTTCATCAGTAGTCACATTTATTTAAACTTTTTGGTTTAAGATCATTGTAAATCCCACACATGCTACTGTAAGAAATACAGGGAGTGCCCTTGCGCTCTGGCCCCTACCAGCCCCATAGGGAACGTCACACAGAACGACAGCATGACAGCGTTCATGGAGATGGGTGTGACACAACTCAGAATATCCATCACTGTGAGGACACTCGTGGCTGGCCTTTTACACCTGAGCCTTACCCTGCCCCCATCCCAGCAAGTGCTGAGTGCTCTCCATTTCAGTAGCAATGTCATTTCAAGAATGCCACAGAAAGGGAACCACACAGCGCAGAACCCCATATAAGTGCTCTTGCCACTTAGCATCAGTCTCTGGATCTGTCCAGACTGTGTATGCATCACTATTTCCTTCCTGTTTATTGCCGAGTAGTCCTCCAGGGTGTGGATGGATCACAGTTTGCTAATTACTTACCCATGGAAGGACAAGGGTTGTTTCCAGTTTCTAGTTATATGAATAAAACTAATCTGAATATTCATATGGAGGTTACCATGTGAACACATTTCCCTGGCACAGGAGCACAACTGCTGGTTGTCTGGTAGTTGCATGGTTTATTTTTGTTGTTGTTTCCTTTTTGAATATTAGGTTTTAGTTTTTGCTATAGGGCATGTGTGAATGTGCTCACCAAAGAGGAACAGAGAGAAGGAGAGAGAAAATGAGAAACCACACCTCAGGTAGAAGGGCCATGCCATAATCCCTTCTCCTCCATTCTCCTCTTGGGATTCTGGGCATGCACACACATGCGCCCAGCATGATTTTCAAGCCTCCAGATCCAGGACTCAAACCATGGTCAGCCATGTGGGAGTCCAGTGCCTGAACCACCATGCCACCTGTTGGTCCCAATTTTACCTTTTATGGGTTGTATATATGGTAACAAATCTAAGAACTGTTTTCCTAGCTCTACATCTGGAAGAGCTTCTACATCTTTTGCTAGAACTTTTACAGTTTTATATGTAGGCCCGTGTCCATTTCAGCCAACTCTGTTTTTTAAATTTATTTTATACATCCAATCACTATACATTACTTAGCTTGTAAAGTGAATTTACCCAACACGAATACACTTCACACCAGTCCAGCTGAGGATATCATACACGTTATCATCAACAGGTAATAATCCATTTCTGTGTCCTATAAATGGCTTGCCTCTCTACTTTTCATTTCATCAATTCTTGTATAAGATGTGACATTTAGGACAACATTCACCTTCTGCTTATAGATGTCCAACTGCTTCAGCACTATCTGTTGAAAGGCTGTCCTTCCTCCACTGACTGGCTGCAACTCTGTCAACCGTCAGCAGGATCCAGCCCCCATTGCACAGTCAGCAGCGTACAAGACTGAAGAGCTGGAAGCCACTTGCCAGCCATGGCTTGAGATCCCATCCTGGTTGTCCTAAAAGCATGCTGGGTGTGTACAGAGATGCTCAGGATCCTAATGGGCTAAAGACTGGAAGAAGAGGACTGCAGTGTGACCTGCAGAGTCTCTCTCCTCTCTGTCATGTGTGCACACACACTCCATCATGAATACTAAGAAAATCAGTGGGGGCCCGCCACTGGTCTCCAGCTTGTCCATGCAACTGATGTGCACCATGCCGTAGAGCACCTTCAGCATGCCGTGCATGCTCAGGTGGTCATGCAGCGGGATGGACGTGCCACTCTTGAGCAGGAACATGACCAGGTTGAAGCCCTCGGTCTCATAGATGTCCATACTGTAGAAATGGTGCTAGACCAGCTATTGGAAATCGACAACGACCAGTTGAGAGCAATCATTGAAGCTGATCCTCCTACAACTATGCAAGAAGTTGATGAAGAACTCAACGTCTACTGTTCTAAGTTGTTTGGTATTTGAAGCAAATTGGGAAGGTGAAAAAACTCAGTGGGTGCCTCATGAGCTGATCAGAAATTTTTAAAAATTGTCTTTTTGAAGTATTGTCTTAGTCTACACAACAAACCACTTCTTGATTGGGTTGTAACATGAGATGAATGAGAATTTTATACAACTGGTGATGACCAGCTTAGTGGTTGGACTGAAATGAAGCTCCAAAGCACTTCTAAAAGCCAAATTTGCACCATAAAAGGTCATAGTCACTCTTTGGTGAGGTCTGATCCACTATGGCTTTCTGAATCCCAGTGAAACCATTATATCTGAGAAGTATGTTCAGCAAATTGATGAGATGCACCAAAAGCTACAATGCCTGCAGCCAGCACTGGTTAACAGAAAGGGCTCAATTCTTCTCCACAACACCCAACTGCATATTGTACAACCAATGAAAAGAAAAGAAAAGAAAAATATTGGGACCAGCAGTTGGCATAATGGCCATGTCGCTGGACTCTCATGTAGTCGACCGAGGTTCGCGTCCCGGACCCAGTGGCTTAAAACTCACACCAGGCACATGTGCATGCGTGCCCAAGATCCTGAGAGGAGAATGGAGGAGAAGGGACTGCAGCGTGACCATCCCCCCGGGGGGTGATTTCTCGCTTTCTGTCTCTATGTCTCTGTCTGTCTGGCGAGCGCACACGCCCTGTAGCAAAAACCTCTCAAAAAAAAAGAAAAATTCTAAAAAAAAAAAAAAAAAAAAAAGTTTCCTTGAGGGAGAGGCCTGAATACAGGTATTCAGGAAGCCTGACAGAGAAAGGGAGAGGGGACCCTCACCCTTCTATGGTGGGCTTTGACTCACCCTCCTCATCTTCAGTATGGGTCCCTCAACCTCTGCCAGGTGTCTACAATTCCCAAAATCCCACATCCCATTGCACTGGGAATGAGCTACTCATCTGGCCAGGCCAGGTGAGACCAGAGAGCATTTCCATGGACATCCAAATAGCCCCACAACCTCTGATTCCCTGTACTCTCTGCCTCTGAGGACCCAGGTGAGGCCACATCAGCTCTAACTCAGTTACCTCACCTTCACGATCTCCTTCCGAGTTATAGACTACCTCACATGCCACTACACTGTCCCATCCTCTAACTCACAGCTTTATGACTTTCTAGTCACTTCCATTTCAGGGGAGGGACTAAAGATCACTTTATGCAGGCCACAGGCCTCATAAACGATGACAGGCCTCAGACACATGGCCTGATCAAGGTCGCAGGTCCCACTTGACTAAGCCTCACTCAACAACTCCTAGTCTGGGCCAAGGAGCTCTTTCAGCTGCATACCAGAGGTGGCACGGGTTTGAGCAGTACATGCCCCACTGCTAGGCCCTCAAGAGGAAGATGATGCAAGCTAATTCAGACAGAACCACAGACTGGGGTCAGAAGATGGAGTCTGGGTCTGAGCTTCCCAACTATTAGATATTACTACAGGTAAGACGGTGGGATCACCCAGCAGGGTGCTCCTGTGGATGTGCCCTATGAACTGAGTGTTCCATGGGCGGGAACGTGACTTTCGCTGTCATTTGGCAGGTACGCCCTGTGGCCCGTGACGACTTACCTTCACCTCCTTCTCAATATAGTCGCTCAGCAGTCTGTCTGGCTCGACGCGCTCAGGCAATGACAACACCACAGTGTGCAGAGGGCGCCTCTCTGTCACCTTCTCATGGGCTTTCTTATCTCTACTCTTTTCACCTTTTAGGAATACTCGTTTAAATGGCGACACAATTCCAGGCTGCAGGCAGAAACGGCAATGGTTGGAGTTCATTATTGACAAATGGTTTGCACTGAACCTAAGGCTCATAAACGGCCAAAACCACTACGGCGATCCCCATGCAAACAAGGGCTGGCATCTGCCGGACTGGCAAGAAAGGCGTTGACAACACGCAGATCCGTGTGACTCTGGCTCTGCAGCCAGCCAGGGCCTGACAGGCTAGGCAGGGCTGCCACACAGTCTCTGCACAGGGACCTCATCTCTACCTGTTCCTCCAACACTCGGGTGTAACCTTAACAGGTGAGAAGAGGACTCAAAAGGGGAGGCACCCAGGCAACAAAAACAAATGTAGCTCCAGCCCTTCCTGGTTCTGCTCTATCCTGGGAAACTTGGACGCAGAAAGATGGCAGCCAGCAGCGCAGGTCAGCTCATCCTCCTTCAGACAGGGTCTCACACCCCAGACAGGTGCCAACAGGTAGGATGTTCAGCCCCAAAGTAGATCAATGGGGCAGAGGCAATGGAAAGGTACTGGCCAGCTCCTGGCACCCTACTCAGCATCTAAGGAAGGGGTTGAGGCTGACCCTACAAACAAGACAATTATAAAGAGCAAAAGTGAGAGAGAGAGCACAATGATAAGCCTCACCTCCAAAACCGTCACAGCTACGTTCAGAGCTGGTTCACTGCAGAAGGAGCCCTGTGCCTCCACCTCCTCCTCTCTGACGTCATCTGACACACAGCAGAGCTCCGCCCGTTGGACACATCAACTGTAACCTCCACAGCAAAAGCTGGCCTGACACCAGACTGAGCTCATCTTTTGTGAGCTAGGCTCACAGCCCCAACCAAGATCCACTGAAACGCTGCCCTCACAAAGACAGGCAGGACCCACCTGGTCCCACCTCCTTCACCTGGAACAGCCCTGCCTTGCTGGACATCACCTCTCAACACAGAATGTCTCGCTGGAGTTGGGAACATCCAGAACAGTCCACTCTAGACCTAGAACAGACTTCCTTGATACAGGACAGTCCCCCATTGACCTGGAACAGACCCCTCTTGACAAAGAACAGACCTTCCTTGACCTGGGGGCACAAGTGAGGTGACAGTCCAAGAGAGACAGCATGTAATCAGAAGGTTCACTTGGGGCTATGATGAGAAATGATCACCTCTGGTCTCTGAGGTAGCCATTTGTGGCTACCTCAGGGTGGTTGGAAACAACCACGTCCAGTTGAAAACAACCCTCAAAAATTAGGGATGGAGGAGTTGGACAGTGGCACAGTGGTGAAATAAAATGCTCTGTGAGGCTGACCCACATGGAAGGTGCCAGGTTCAAGTCCAAAGACCTCTCTACACCAGGCCATGATCTGAGGTTGTCTGAGGCTGAGATTGGACCGGAGTATTGGGGGTGCTCACTCTCTCTTCTTCTCTTAAAGAAGCAATTTTTTTAAAAAGGGGGGGTGGACACATTCTTAGCAATGGAAATATGTTTCATCAGAAACATCTATGCTCAGCTGCAACTCCCTCCAGAGAGCACATGAATGGCTCTTCAAACAAGTTGCACTCAGTTATCCTTTTAGTTTCTCAGTTCCTGCAATACGTGAGACCCTGTCCTGGAGATGGAAGTACAAAGATGTGTGGCCCAGGAGCCTGGCCATAGGAAGCCCACATCCCCACAGGTGCCAACAACCTCAAGCCAGAGGTGAACAGCTGTCCCTGTACATTTCTATCACAATCCCACAAAGCTGTCCTAAATAGGTGGCCGGGCAGGGCCAGCAGCTAGTCTGAGCCCCACTGCACAAGCTTAGTCTGTCCGGCCTGCCCAAATCTGCTTACTCGTCAAGCTAGATACAAATCTACATGTGGAAGCAACAGCATCCCACTCTGAGATCAAAGGTTTGCCAAGATCAACCTCCAACCACAAAGTCCATGCAAATCAACAGACCCACAAGCCACATGTCACCACACTGTCCCTTTCATTTTGATGTGCAGGTCCTAGCATGGAACCTAGTAATGCTGGCAGGACCCACGGCATCTGTAACCCCACGTCTAAAAAGAGGCACTCCATGAGTAGGAGTGAGATGGTATCTGTCAGGCCCCTAAAGGTTGAGGGTGCCAAGACAGCCA